GATGGTTTGGGTTCATGAATTGGGTTAAAGGCGACAACTATGAAGAGTTTGGCGACAACTAAGGGGAGTTTGGTGATAAACAAGGATGGTCTGATGTCAACTAAAAAAGAGTTTGGGAACCAATTTTATCAGCCTAATTCAATACCCTCTCCGACTGATGCATTGCTGAGTATGATCTATAAAGGACAAAGAAACTTGCAACAGAGAAGACAGCTTGAATCGGGTGGATACAAGCAAATTAGCTAGAGAAAGACAGCGCAAGAATTATTGGGGAGTTGTCAGCCGATTTTCTGTTTTCTTTTTTTTTTTCTTTACATTTTATATTACTCCATTATATTAATCAATCGTTTGAACTCATTTATTTTTTTATCTTTTATTGATTTCTCATTATGCTCCTAATTGCTTGTCTTTATCTTGTTCCACTAGTTAGGCTTGGGTTAGTCTGCATATCTAGGAAAATAAGAATGCACGCATAAGTTCATCTACGTACAACTGTGCGTAATAGATTGTCAATAAGATTTTCTACCACAGTTGGCATTAATATAGCAGTTTGATTGGCCATTTTGCCGTTTTTGATAAGAGCTGCGTTATCTGTACTCATACCTAAAGCCGCAAATTGGCCAATCGGATTGCGACATTATTGCCAATTGTGGCGAAATATTGGTTAAACCTACCTTAGTAACCTTGCTAATCTTAGGAAGCGTTCTCTTTCTGGTCAACTTTTTCAGCTGGCTCGTCTGCTGCTCCTTCTATCGAAATAAATGAATACAGGGCATAGTCATGGATGTTATAAAGTGGAAATGAAACTTCGTGTCGCGCCGTTTAGAATGGCCAGAGATCAATTCACTAAACTGTACTCCAATCATTTCAATTACTGTCATTCATTTTTACCAGTTCTTCTGACCATTTGCGTCCAGCAACTATTGGTCCAGAAACAAGTTCATAAACCTTAGTCGTGCAATTTATCCCTCCAACCAGATAACAATATAAACTTAGAGGAAACGAGACCTGTAACCTTGGAGGTTTGACTGCAGACAAATAATCAAAGCACTTTACGTTACGTCAAACCGTAACTCCTGTTTACGTACCACTTTTACTCGCCGGGTCTTCCAATGCTAGAGAATAGGAAGAAAAGAAGAAAATATAATGTGTAGTTGAAAATAGATAAAAACGCCTTTTGGTAGTTTGCTACAATCAATAAAGACATAGAAGGGCGGAGGTAATTCAGCCATGTTCGGTTGGGACTGAGAAAGTTTTGTAACGCGGGTGTTACCCATCCCGCTGGTGATTCTACAGTTTGCCGTATTCATTTTTCAGTGGAGATTTTTAACTTCTAGTCGGTGATAAATATTCTTGGCATGCAAGACGTGGTTAAAAAATAAATTCATACGATAAGGAAGTTATTTTGACTCTTACCAAGTGGGACTGTTTTGTCGTCATCACTGTGTTCATCCTCCTGATCTTTAAATAGGATGTAAAAAAAAGAACAATAAAAAAAATTAAAATAACTCTTTTTGTAAAA